AGTCATGGAGGTGAGAACGATCGCATCTTCACCGTGGTCGCACAGCTTCCGTATCGACACATTGGAGGCACCACTATTTTGGGAATTTTGGCTTCTACGAGATGAGCAAGATATTTTCAGACAGATATGGTGAGATTTTTTAGGATAATTGGCTGCGAATTGGGGCTAGGGTTAGGGAATTAGCTGCGAAATTTGGGGAAGAAATAATTAGGGTTTTATTTGGGGCTAGAGTTGGGGAATTAGCCGATCAATTTGGCCCCGATTCTGTTTTTATTTTGTGTGTATCACACGTGTATTTTGGGTTTTTTACACGTCGGTTTAGTTGTGCCAAGTCAGCGAGCAGTCGAGGCCATGTAGGAACGGACGCCGGACACGCTGTCAAAAAATTCACCGTCGACAGACATTGGGTTCGGGTTGCAATTTTTATACAAGGTCGTGATATGTTTGCCTATTTCCAAAGGTTTGGTTAAAATGTCCAAAATGTAAAAGGTCGTGATGCTGGCGGCAATTAAGCCTAATAATTATTATTAATTTTATATCACATGCAATTTGATCCTTCCGCTTTCCAACAAAATTAATTATTTATCCACACTATACTCAAATAATTTAACTATAAGTGGTTTACAATTATTATTATTAATATTATATCACGTCAACTTTAATTATTACATTTTACCTCATATATCTATTTACTAACAATATACTACACGCATTTATATATATTGTGATATAATATAAGGGTATTGTATATGCATGTAAAGGGGTCAGGGATGGATACATTTAATGAAAATGCTACGGTCCTGTTATGGAATCATTCTGTCAGGGTTTGGAACTGTTAAATCATCATGTAACCGTCGGAGATAGTTGATCTAATGATTACAAACTCCGACGGAATGATTCCGTACACGGGACCCAGGTACCTACTTCTTCGGTTTCTCTGTTCCTCGCTTTGGAGCCCGACTCCCTCGCTAACGATAGATCCCAAACAATAGAGTCAGACTATTGGGACCAATGCCAGTTCAACCCTCGTGACCATCTCTTTCGAGTTCTGCGTTAGGCCCAGTATACCATTGTTACCTTAGAGTACTGTCGACCATGTATCAAACTTCTCAAACAGCCGGGACTTCTAGCCACAAGTTGCTGCTACATGATTTCCTCACTCGAATTCATTAATTGAACTAGTCCTCTAATCGAAAAGGAGGGATATCTTGTTTTACGCTAGTCCGTTAATCATACCTTCCCTTGGCCATTACGAACATTACGCTCAGCTTTCCTTATCTATTCAACCAGTTCGCGGGTTCTCCGGTGCCCTGCGGGGCTAGTCCTTGTTCGAATCCGAGCAGCATCTCCCTACATTTAAATAAGGTAACTTTTTTTTTTTTTTTTTTTTTTTTTTTTAGATATGCCAATGTTTTCCATTTGGATACAACATGTATGATAAGTGTTTTACATTTTGAAGGGGTTTTTTTTTTTTTTTTTGGTACAAAGGAGGCAAAAAACCTAAGAATCATTAGACAATTATACTCCGCGGATAAGCAATGCCAACAAAGTCATGCTGTAACCACGGTTTAACTGTCGATGGTGGATCAGGAAATCGTTGATTACCACTGGAATAGTGATGAGTTAGGGTCGCCAAACAGTCGGTTGCAAAGTTGTACTCCCTATAACAATGATCACCTTAATCACCCATTCTCGCCAAGAAGCTCCCTAATAGCCCGCACCAGGCTGCCATGAATACCAAGTTGCTCTGTCGAACTCCCCGTCACCATCCGTACCACACTCATGCTATCAACTTCAACCAGGACCTGGCGGAAACCCAATTCCCAGGCTAACATCAAACTGTGGAAAAGGCCCCATACCTCTGCTCCGGTGATGGAGCAATACCTAATATTTATTACAAACCTCCCGAACCATCGGCCATTAAAATCATGGGCCAAGCCCCCAGTAGACGCCATCCCATTCGAAGGCAAAATAGAGCCATCCGCTAGAGCCATCCGTGTTAATTTTAATCGTGCCAGCCTCAGGAGCAATCCAACTAGAAATACGAGTTCATATTAGTACGAGTTCTCTTCATATTCGCTGCACGTGTACATACTAGAAATAAACGAAACTACCAAATGAGTGGACACGTGTCCCTTGTTTTTTTTTTTTTTTTCAGTATGAACAAAAAGAGAGTAACCTTGAAAATTAGAAGAAGAAAATTAATGACGGTTGACTGTCAAAAGGGTAATTTAAGCGGTAGTGCAGTGTTGACTTTGACTTGAGAAATTCACGGCCAGACTTTGTCCATGGCGGCCGTTCCCCATGGACCATGATGGTGGTGGTGGCCGCGGCGGCGGCCGCCTCAGTGCGGGCGGTGGCTCCCACCAATTTTACCCGCAGTCGTGATAAATTGATGAAATAAAATATAGCTAACTTAATTTTTTTCTCAATTTTTAAATTTATTTAGCAACAAAATTGCAACTTTATTTTTTTTCTTCTTCCATAGTATCTTGATCAAATTTATCAAGTATTTTTTCATATTAATTAAGGATTTAATTATTTTTCAATTCATTATTGATCACTATTAATTTATCTAATTAAAACCACAAAATGAAGAAAAAAAAGAAAAGAAAAAGAAAAAATAGAACACAACACATGCAGGCTTGCATAATCTGATTAAATCTCCAATTAAGCTATGCAAACATGATCATAAATTAATATTAATCATAACATTTCTTATCAAAACTCCCTTCAATCTTCACCAGTTTTCCGGGTTCTGATCCTCGGGCTCGGGCTTCTTGTTCAGGTCGATCCTCCCGTGTCCTCCGCCAGCCCCCGCCGCCGCGCCGCCGGCGGCGGCGGCTAGGAGAGCGTCCACCCTTGACCCCACCTCCACCGCCATCCGCCTTATGGCTTCCGCCGAGAGATCCCCGCCGCAGGCGGCGGCGGCCGCCGGCCCGACCTCCCCCGGGAAGTTGAGCCTGGCGGCCGGCCCCCGGAGGTGGTAGACCGCCGTGTCGTAGGCCCTGGCCGCCGCGACCGCGGTGGAGTACGACCCGAGCCAGATCCTCGACCGCTTGTTGGGCTCCCTTATCTCCGCCACCCACTTCCCCCACTTCCGCATCCGGATGCCACGGTACTGCTTCTCCGCCGCCCCGCGCCGCCTCGACCCGCCGCCTCCCCCGTAAGATCCGCCGCCGGCTTCCATTCGTGGTGATCGGAAAATTTGCTCTTTGTCACGTAAGCATGCTCTTTTACCGAGCCTTAACAAAAAAACTAGCATACAAACTTCACCGACACCACTTCAAAAATTATAATGCTTTTTTTCTCTCTCTATACCCGCTTTTTTTTTTTTTTTTTCTCCCCCACCAACACTTTGAGAGTTAGATTTGTAGATGTATCTATAGCTAGATTGTACAGTCCCGTCACGAAACTATTTTGTCGGGATTTGTAACTGTTAGATCATCATAACCCGACGGAATAGTGATGATCTAACAGTTACAAATCCCGATGGGATAGTTTAGGACTGTAGCCTTTCCCGTGTCTATGAATTGGGCATTAATTGTGTGTTTTGCATTTATTTATTTATTCATTTATTTATCATTAATACTGTTATTACTATTAGTTATTGTCAATGTTGACATTGTATATTGTTTGAAAATTTTTTAATCATGTGTTTTTTGGTCTTTATGTGAAGGACAGCATATCCAACCGACATTTGATTCTGGAAATAATATTCATGTCTCGCGTGCTAACGAATAGTCTATATAAATGGCGTCCTTTAGAAAGTGAAATTCTTTTGTGACATATTTGGAAGTTTACCACTATAAGAAAATCACCTTTTTTTTTTCAATATTAAATTATTCAATAGAGGGTAAGAATATATTTACACCTAGTTTTCTAGTGACATATGATAAATGATCTAATTCAAATTAAAGATGTGTTTATTTTGTATAAACACATCTACATATTTTTTTTTTGTACAGGAACCTTCCGGTTTTCGGATCCACAGGGGAACCGACTAATCCGGAATCGAGCCAGGTAGGACCACAAGGGCGGCATAGCTCTCCCTCAAGAGTTTTAACGTTGCTGCATAGGGCTCGAACTCGAGACCACTGGTTAAGCTGGAAGAGACCCAATCCATTTCATCCAAGCGCTCTTGGGTAAACACATATACATATTGCGTGGTGTTAATTCAGCAGTAAAAAATTCGATAACTATATTGAAAAGGTCTTTTTTTTTTTTTAACAAACATCAAATTTGAATATAATAAAAACTCAACAAGAGTACAACCGAATAACCAACGAGCTACAATCTAAAACTCCGCACAAGTAGAGAGTAAGAACAAACTCCCCACAAGACCAAACAGGCCATACAAACACATCCAAAAAAAACTGAAAAGACCAAAACTAAACTAAACATCAACAAAAGACCAAGAAGCAAGAGATGATAGCAAGGTCGATATGTCTATTATTGGAATAAATAGTTAGGTCGCTCACACAATAATTTATGATTTGTACACATGAATGATTTGTTATTTTATTTTATTTTTCATAGAATAACGTGTATTGAATAAAAGGATCAATACCAACTATAGTGACGTATATTCAAACTGGAAAATGCTACATAAAATGGTACAATTCCGTTACGGAACCATTCCGTCAAAATTCCTAACCGTTATATCATCATGTAACCGTCATGAATAGTTGATCTAACGGTTACAAATCTCGACGGAATGGTTCCGTAACTGAACCGTAGAATCTCCCATTAAAAGTAGTCTGAAATAGAAGATATGGAAAATAGTGTAGGGAAGAAATTCGAGTTGACCTTAGTGGTAATGTATAATGATCAATCACAACATGTTTTGAACCCCTAATGAATTTCCGTACTGCAAAAAATCAAATTCAAGACGAAGATTTATGAGTGTACAGTAGTAGATTGAATTTGACCAGCTCGACTTACATAAATATACAAAAATTGATAAGTTGACAATTTGCTCTTATATCTCACAAGGTGAAGTTTAATATTTCTGCATACATTTATTTCCTTTGGTTCCCATACTTCAAAAAATAGTCATTTATTTGGGCCTTTTTTTTTTTTAATTTATAGAAATTTAATGCATTCATCAGATATTGAAGCATAAATATGAATAAATTAACAGAAATACAGAAATAAAGAATTGCTCTCACTGAGTGTTATATATATATATATAGGCTAAATTTCATTTTTAGAACATTATATTGGTCATTTTCTGAAAATGGTCCATCATATAGGGCGTCTTCAAGGATGATCCACTAAGTTGTTATTTTAATAAAAAATCGTACAAAAGCCAACATAGTGTACTAAATATGACAACTAAAAATGATCATTTTTAGTACAATATGTTGGTTATTGGACGAATTTTTATTAAATTGGCAACTTAGTGGACCATTCTTGATGACGCCCTAGATAATGGACCTTTTTCGAAAAATGACCAACATAGTAAACCATTTTCAAAATTTTTCATATATATACATATACGTTAAGTTTCTATGAGGTTGAAGACCACCACATAAGCAAAACAATAATAATAAAATCTAAGTGCGTAATAATACATGAATTTAAAATATGGCCAATCATATAACAGATAATAAGTTGCGGAATTGCTTCCAATAGATTTGTGGAATTTAAATACTGAAATTTAAAGCATGAGGCTTGATGGCCAACCATATAACAAAAAGTAAGGAGCGTGTAATTTTTTAAGATTCTTAAAGTAAGAGGGGTGTAATCCTTTAAGAGGAAGTCATACATGTCATGATCCAAATATTCAAATGTTCAAATGATGCAATGATCTTTAAGCAGATATGGAGAGTAGCAACTAAGCCAAATATTCTAGTAAGTAAACTGCTCAAGGAGAGGTACTTTCTCAAAGAATATTTATTTGAAGCTCAAAGAACAAAAGGCTCCTCAGGGATGTGGAATAGTTGGATGAGAGTCAAAACTTCATACCAGCAAATCTTCAAAAAGGAGGTTACATATGGAAAGCGCACGATGACATGGAGTGACTCTTGGGGTTCCTGGACTACCTCTAAGAGGACCTAACAGTACATATCAACATAAAACAAACATCATTTGAGTTTCAGAGTTACAACGGGTGGTGTTGGACAGAAAATGACAAAGGCAGATTCTATGGATAATGTCTATGCCAAGTTGATGATCAGTAAACTTTTGACTAGGAGCAAGTATTCTAGTAAGGATAAGAAAGCAAGAAATAGATGTTGGAAGATGAAGGTAAAAGGCAAGCTCAAACACTTTCTCGAAGTGTTCCACTAATGCCCTGTCAACAGGTGTAAGTCTGATGAAGAGGGGTTAAATGTGGACATCTTAAGTCATTGTTGTGGAGAAGCACTTGAGACCATTGAACACTTGTTGTTCCATTGAAGCAGAGCTCAGGTAGTGTGGAAACTTGCATCTTTAGACTGGGAAGACTCATTGAAGAAGGCACAGAGCTTTAGATAATGGTGGTGGTTATTGTTTTCTTTGTAGAACTTTGAGGTGGCTAAGAAAAGAATCCAGATGTCCACATATTAGCTATGGTGGATCTGGAAAACAAGAAACTTGTGAGTATTTCAGAAGGTGTGGATACCTGAATCAGAGGATGTGAGGGATGCTTTGATAAACTGGACAAAGTTCTCAAGCTGCAACCTTGGTGGAGGAAGGAGATGAAGAGAAGGGAGTGTATAGGCTAGGTCATTTGATCAGTTGTCTACATTTTTGCTCTTGTCTCTTTGTTTCTAGTTAGTATATGGTTGCTATATTTAGACTATTCTTATCTCCAACCCAACCCAACTCAACCTAACAATTAAAAATTATTTTTTTCTCCTCTACCTACAAAACTCAATCTTCCAACCCAACTGGAACAAGTTTTCATATTTTTTCAACCCAATCTTCCAACCCAATTTATCTTTATTTCCAATCCAATAAAAATGCAACAAGTGTTCCATTTCTGCACAAAAACCGATCGCGACCCGAAGTTACAATGTGAACTGGGTCGCTCGCATGTTGTGACCTTTTCCCTTTTTATTTTTTTTTTTATTTTTTTTGTTTATTCTTGTGACCCAGTGAAAAGGTCACGGATAAAGGTGGTCTTAAGAACTAGTTAGCTTTTCGGTTGTAGACCTTTATTCTTATTTGTGCTATGAAATTTTCCTATTGTTTTCGAGAAAAAAGGTGTAGCAAGTATTATTTAAATTAAATAAACAATATATAAGGAACATTTTTAAGTCGGACTAGCATAATGAATTTTGACTTGTCTAATTTAAATAATGAATTATATTATTCAATAGTTGGTTTAATATTCTTCTATACATTGATGGTTTTTTTTTTTTTTCATATGAGTTATTTAAAATTAACAAAAGCTGACTTTTTCTCCTCAATTGCTTGTTTGTCGGATGCTAATTATGATGTTGTCTTTCCAAATTTTTATCACCAAGTTAAACAAACAACCCAATAATTTATGCAATTAATTCTATATATTTATTATTTGTTAGTTGGTATATAATATATTTTAAATGAAGTTGTTTTTCCAATTATTTACCGCCGAATTAAACAAATAGCCCAACAATTTATGTAATTAATTCTAGATATTTATTATTTGTTGGTTGGTATTTGAATTTATTTTTATTTATAAATTTTTATGTAATTATTTGTTATTTTAAATACGTAAAATGGTTGTAAAAATGAAAATTGTTAAAAGATAATTATTTGATATTTGATAAAATGTGGTGATGAGCAAGAGCAGATCTACATAGGGGCCCCGTTGGGGCACGGGCCCCTATAGAAGTTTCTGTAATAATATATACATATATATAATATATATAAATATGTTATTATATTGACATAAAAAAAATACATGTTATTAGTTATTATTTTAAGTTATTTCAATATAAAAAAATATAAAGTAAATGTTTAGAATTATTTAACCTTCAATAGTATGTTACTTTTTAAGTTGTGGAATGCTTATATTATACACTTCTTGTTTATTTCATTTTCCCTCTCGAAATACATAAAAAACAAATATTATGCATAATAGTTTTGCTATGAAACTAACAATTGACTCTATATTAGAGTCAGCCTTCTATATACAACAAGTAAATCATAACATATTATAACATATTATATGATTACTTAAATAAATACTAATAATTTTATTAATATGATATGGTTTACTTGTTGTATATTGAAGGTTGATTCCATGATGGAGCCAACTGTTGGCTTCATAGCAAGGTGTCTGGTTCAAATTTAATCTTTTTATTTTTTTAGATGGTTAAATATTAATTTGGCCATTGACTTCTGGCGTTAATCGTTGACTATAGTTTGTGTTCCCGTTGTCCTTAAAGCAGGAGATGGGCATGACGGATTTGAGAAAATCAGCAACTCATTTTCAATTAATTTTTTTAGGAAAAAAAACGTAAATGCCTTAAATATATAAGACAACAGTTCATGGTTGGAGGCTTGAGTAAACATTACAAGTTCCAATCTTATTATTTATTTAAAAGTCTGAACCAATAAAAATCACTTCAAAATACAAGAAATGGTTTTGCGTTAATGAAATTTTTAGTATTTTTGAAGACCATAGAAAGTCAAGTAGTGAGTGAAGCCAAAAAAATGGCCACACTAATATTGGAGGCTTCATAGTAGATAGACATGACCACGGGCCGGTCTGGCCCGCCGTCCCGGTCTTGGCCCGGCTTGCAACCAACTCGTAGGTTGCCGGTTCTGAGAACCGACACCGTGGCTTTACGGGCCGTGTTCGGGTCTTCCTTTTTTCTTTTTTGTCCCGACGGTCCGAGACCAGGCTGGGACAGAGCCGGTTCCACGGGCCGGCCCTTGGTTTTGGGTGACCCGGTTAAGAATCACCCATGGGAGGCCCGTTGGCCCGACGAGCCGGGTCATAAGAGTAGAATAAATTATTATTATTATTATTATTTTGTAAAAAAGATGTTGTCTTACTGACAAAGACACTTGTCATTATCATTTATCAGCTCTCACTCTACTCTGATCACTAAAGGAAATTTCATTTTAATTTGAATATACCCATCAAAATCACGTTTTTTCTGTTGTATAGTTATTAAATTAAAAAAAAAAAAAAATATATACGAAAGGACTTCTAGCAACTGAACAGAGGCAGTATTCTGTGTGCACTGGACGATGTCCACATTCAGCTCATCCCAACAACAGATGGGTTAAAAAAGAAGAATTTATTTATGATTCATCAACATAAAACAGAAACAATGTGTGGGAAAAGAGATCTTAAAACCGCAGAAAATAACTTAATAAAGATACATATGATTGTTTAAGGTTGGCTGATGTAAGGGAACCTCCTAAAGTCGACAAATGCAGCAGGGGCTCATCTTCGCTTTTAAAACAGATACTACGTATCCTATATGGATTCCCGTGTTAAATACAAGGAAGTCATCTTGATTCATAGTTTCCCGCTCAAACCAAACCTTAACCATAAGTGCTAGTAGGATTTCATTCAAGCACAAATAGATTCCTGAATCTTTAAATAGAAGATAGTAGATGCCAATTGATATCAACTGGAAAATGTTAGGACTACTGCACAATAACTTCTAAACTATCAACCAGACTGTTGTTGATGCAATCTACAAGTTCAGCCATATCACAAAAACCACACACGAGCAAGCAATCATTGCTTTGCAATTCGTACGTACGAGTCTCAGACAGAACACATATCATCTAAATAATAATCAGACCAAAAGGCAATTTGTTTTTTTCTCAGACAAGAGGTGGGTACTGCTTGGCCTGGCTCCGAACCCTCTTCTTGTATTCAACGGCATCCTGCATCATTCCACAAATTTTTTTTGAAGTACTTCTGAAACTACCTTTTCTATCCAAAGCAAGAGTGGCAGCTAACCCCCAAAGTAAATATTGTATGTCTACGCATTATCGATCAACAGAATAACTAACAATTTCATATGTCATGATTATGGTTATCAGATGGCCCATGTACATGAAAAGCAAGTTGCAACAAGTCTTAGCAAAGAGGGAAAAACAAAAAAATAAAATAAAATTGTAACACAAAATTTCGTGGACAAACAATGAGAACCCCAAAATTGGCCTACGCACATCGAGACCAATGACAAATTCAAGATAAGCAATTCAACAAACATAAAACTGATTTATATTAGGAAAATCAAGATGAATTAATTGCATATTTTCTTAAATGACGAGTTATTAACGTTAGCCAATTTAGTATTCCTTTTCCCAATCATAGTTTTAAATGGCGAATGGCGAGGCGAGGCGATTCGCCCATAGCCTCGCCACGAGGCGAGGCGATTCGCCATGGCGAGGCCTCGGCAACACAAGCCATCAAAGCTTAAAAAAAATATTTATATAGGTAGTAATATCATATATTTAAGTTTAAGTGTCAAAAATAACCTTAAATATCCTCAAAGAAAATAATATAAATTAAATTTGGTCGTAATTACTAAAAGCATCTCAAACTTAAATGTGAACACTAGTAACAATATCAAAAAAATAAATAAATAAATAAAATAAATTGAATTTAGACTGTGTAGTAACATAAAATAGAAAAATGTTAAAGAGGGTAAATAAAAAGTGTAAAGTAAAAGTAAATGAAATAAAGACGTTGCACCCTTTCACCTTTGACTATTGACCATACTAGTAAACATAAATAAAAGTAAAAAAAATGAAGAAAGAAGAAAAAGAAAGAAGGTAGAACAGGAAAACAGAGATAAGGGAGAAGGAGTCTTTTAATTTATTCTCTTTTTTAAAAAAAAAAAAGATGTACTGCACCTTTAATTTCTCTGAAAGGTGCTGAGGCGCGCCTCACAGGCGCCTCTCGCCACGTGAAAAGGCGAGCCGAGGCGACCTGAAGCGAGCGCCTCGCGAACAGGGTCGCCTCAGACAGTGGCGAGGCGATGTAGCCCTCGCCTCGGTCGCCTCGCCTCGAGGCGTCGCCATTTTATACTATGTTCCCAATACCATTTGATTGGAGAGTCGAATGATTTCTTCTTGAAATTTAAATCAATAACTAAAAGTTAGACCATTTTATTATTTTTCCTTTTATTTTTTGAAACAAAAAGCCATGTTTTGTTAATATGTGAAAGAACTAAGATGACGAATAGAATGAACGAGGGAGTATTTTTGTTGTTTAAATATGAGCTTTTGCAATAAAGTAGGGAACTTTTGCTTCATTAGTATGATGTGAATATAACATTTACATGTGGGGTGTCTCATCGCAATAGTTTTTGCATCGAGGAAAAACTTATATTACCTGTATAAAGAGATGGTACCCCTCTGTTTGTGCTGGGTCAGCAGGATTAGGCTGGTCCAACAAATCCTGTATGCCCACCAGAATTTGCTTCACTGTTATAGCCGGGCGCCACCCCTAGAAATCCAAAACATAAAGAAGAAAGAAAAATTTACATAACAAACGATATCATGTGTGTGGCAGCAATGCATACCCAGAATAATGCACTTACACTGTCTTCATTGAGGATTGACAAACAAACAGTCCCAGACGGATACACATTAGGATGAAAAAAATTTGGAGGAAATTTGCACTTGGGCGGTTTGCTAGGGTAGTCTTCACTAAAGTGCATCGTGAGAGGGTAATAACCACCCTCCCAATCAGTCTGCGAATTCATGCAATCGAATACACATGTCAGTTATAAAAAGAAAGAAACTGTATAAAGGAGATACCCATACGTATTACTTATGTTATGTAGATCCATTTAAACTAGCTATCGATTGGTGAGTTCTAGCTAGAAAGAAAAAAAAAAAACTAACTCAATCATCTATGCTGAAACATGTAACTCCAACAAATTGGACTTCCCAGTTACCCCAAAAAAAGGTAAAATTCAGTTTGAAGTTAAAGAATCCACAAACCAAAAATTCATGCTGCACTCAGTTAAATGCTAGATTAGGCACAAGCATAAGCATTATAATCTCAGGACACAGATAAGAGAGAAAATACTGAGCTAAGAAATATCACAACAATGTTAATATACCATATCACTCAGTAAATTCTCATATTGATATAGATATATGTACAAGGAGCATAAATACCAATCACGAAGTGATATGATAATCTCTTTTCTTCTAATATAATTAGTTATACAACCGAGAGGTGGGAAAGCCCACATGCAGATTCTGTCACTTTGACCTGCTCATCACTTAGTGCTATCATACACTGTCAAACAGCTCTTAGACAGTGACCAGTCATTTAGGAAAATTTGACACAGTCACAGCACTTATCTATAGTGTGCCTTGCGCGATTGTGTGTGTGTGTGTGTGTGTGTGTGTGAGAGAGAGAGAGAGAGAGAGAGAGAGAGAGAGAGAGAGGTAATCACATTGATATGAGCCCCCACAATATCCAATTATTAACCACATTTTCCTAGTGAACATTATTTCTTTTCTTTCATAAACTAATGATCACATTGTCTATTCTAAATTTTACACAAGTTAGACACTCCATTGTCAATGTTAGAACAAAGGGTCATTATGTGTTGGCTAGGAAAAAAGACTCCAATGACTACTTTAAGTTTCAAAAGTAAGCCGATGGATGACCCTCCGCGCATCTTATAACCAATGCTGCCTTTTCCAATTCAATTTGGGCCCTTAAATGTGAAAATCAAATCGTCCAATAACCAAAGTCCACAATAGTTCAACCATCAACCAAAGCTAGGTCAAATCAAAACCAGATTCTGCCCTTTTTCCCCAGCAAGTTGTGCACTGTACTACAAGAGTAAAAGTCAGAGACTAAGCCCTTGTTGCCAGTACAAGGCTACAGCACAAAGCAATACACACACACACACACACACACACACACCAAGTTTACAGATCTTCCCAAGACATAAAACAATTAGCAAGTAAAAGCTCTTGGCAAAACTTAAATCTATATATAGCTTCCGATTACATCATTTAAGAACACCATATGAAATCCAGACCTCCGATTACATCATTTAAGAACTGAAACAAATCCGGACAGGCACAGCAAGTGTGCACGATACTTACCCCAGCCTTACCAGGGATGGTGCAGTGCCACACCATCAAATTCACAGTCCCATCAGGCATCGACTCTGGTTTAGCCACGAAACCCTTCAAAACAAACACAGAAAAAGACAATCGAACTCAGAATTCATCACACACACACACACAGAAACCCAAAAACAAGAAAGGCAAGTAAAAACCGAACCACCAAATGAAAGAATAATTGATAAAAGGGAGAGATCGAACATGGGGGTGATTCTTCCTCCAAGCCTTGCGTTCCTCCGTGAGCCGCCCGCGCGCAATTCCGCCGGACATTGTTATCAAATCTCACTCTTTTTTTCTCGTCTGGTGTGAATGAATTAACAGCGTTCTTGGGAGTAGCGTAGCATATTTTAAATGGGGAGAGAGAGAGAGAGACGGACGGAGAGAAGTTGAAAGCGCTGGGTTAGGTTGCATGAAACGTCAGACACAGAAACGCGATTTTAGGACTCATATAGCGTGAAAACCACGCACGCCATTAGGTTCGAGTTCGACGTTAAAAGTGGACTTCTCGTGAGAAAACGCGTGGGGCTGCAAGTTGCCGTTGATTTTTAAGGCTTTTAATTCAACTCTTGGTATGTATTTTCATTGGGGAAAATAATTTGATTGGTAAATAAAAGATACTTTCTCCTATTCATAATAATAAGTGTCGTTTTGAGAAGTTACATAATAATTAAGAATATTTTTTTTCAATAATAACTTTCATTAATGAAGATAGATATGAATGTATTGAGAAAAGATAAAAAGTGAATATGAAAAGACGTAGCGTATTTATTAGCTAAATGAGGGTAATAATGGAAAACATGCACAAAAAATTCAAAACGACATTTATTTGGTTAATGGTTGACAAGCCAAAATGACGTATAAAAAGAATAGGAGGTGGTAGTAGATGAATTAATATTTTTTCCTAGATTGCCCTCTTTGTTACCCTGACAAAGAAGATGAGCGACTCTTCCCTACAAAAATAGAAGACCTCACACCTACGATTGCGATTCAACGATATGTTTCGATTTCTGCTTTTTTTTCTCCAAAAAGAAGGGAGATGATCTCGAACTCGGTCGCGGTCAGGGACTCCATCCGACGCCTCCACTCGCGGCGATTGGAGTATATGGGGGCATTGGATATAACGACGGACATCAGGCGGGAGGTGATCTCGAGGTCGGCGATGGTTGGGTCGCTCCACCACGAGGTATATTTGGTCACCTATCTTCAATTTGTGGCTTCTTCATGTTTAATAAGTTAAACATGTTTGTATGTGATAAGTCATTTATTTACGAATTTAATTTATAATTTCACTAGGGTTTGGATGTTTGGGTTTGCGCAGTTGCTGTTGTGTAAAATTTGGAAACCCAGATTGTTGATTGTGCCTAAGTATTATCAAATTAGTAACTGAAACCCTTCAAAATAATAACAAATGGTTTGATTATAATATTTCTTTTTAGACTTTTTAGTTCGTGTAAAGCTAATTGTAATGTATGTTTGAGTTGTCTAATTGGTATAATATGCCCTACAAAAAAAAAAAAAATTGTTCGATTTAAAGAAAAAAAAACATGTTTCTTTGTTGGGGTACTGGTTCTGGTTGTTAAATCCACATTTGCATATTACTTTGGAAAAAAAAAGATGACATGAAGAATAACGTACACCCGTACACCGTAATGTTGTAATATCAAATATGTCGGTAGTGCCTCACTGTAATCAAAATGAAGAAGAGTTTCTCTACGACCAACTAGAACATGCTGCGAACAACATCGAAGTACATAATCTAGGAATGTTCAATACATACATCTGCCTAATAACAACTCGGTTAATGCAAAAGTTCAACAAAGACTTCACCATATATAATGTAAAAACGAGTGCAAAGTTTTCTTGATGTGTACTACTCTCATGTGGCTGAACAATCCTAGACTTCGTTACAACGTGAAACCAACAAAGTAGAAGTCCATGGTGTTCCAATAGTAAGGTAATGTGCTTCTTGAAATTGAATGACTTCTCTATAATGATAGAGTTGGTCCATTTTCTTCAAGAATTATATTTTGCCACACTAGAGTAAATGTTGTAGCCCTGATTCATTCCTTTTTGTTGACAGGAGAGCGGTCAAGACAAATACTTCCTTACTCAAGGCATAAAGTATTTCAGGACATCCCACCTTTTTCTTGATGAAATAAATGCATCTCGATTGACTTCGACCACACGACAGGAAGAAGAATGACCCCTAGATGAATCAATGTTGATTGTAATGATTTCATTACAATGTTTGTGTTGTGTTCATCCTTTAATTTATGCCTATATGAACAATGTCATTTGTTGTTAGTCTTTTGTGACATTTGTATTTTAATGAAAACCTTTTTATGATTTCGTGGAACAAGCCTATGGATTCAGTGATGTGTTGTTGGGATAATATGTAGAATTTGTGTGGTAAATATGTATTGACAATGTGGTTGGAGTTATTTTGGAAATGACAGATGATGATCATGACACTTTATTTTGTACAAAGCATGAGTGTGAAATTGTTGAGGATGATATGCTACTGTTAATTTGGCCAAATGTTAATTGCACCTTGTACATAATGATTATATGTTGAACATGGCTTGAGAGCTATTGCTTGAGCATATTATAGAAAAGGGTCATGCTACATGTACAACTAGTGTTGACAACATTAGTTGACAACACTAGTTATCACAATCATTGAACAAATCTTAACCACACATTTTTTTGGATCTCACTTATCTACATGATGACACATCATGTTGTACAAAATAATTGTACAAAATAATTGTACAAGTAGCTTTATTCTATAGAAAATGTGATGTGAGGTTTAGTAGTGTTATAATTGCCAAGGCATACTGTAAAACTGATTGCATGGATCAACTGTTTACAAAATTGAGATATTAATGTTGTGTCATGGCTTATATATAAATATATATATATATATATATATATATATATATATATATATATATATATGTATATGTGTGTGTATGTGTGCGTGCGTGTGTGTATGTGTCTATATGTGTGTATGTATATATAACACATCTTCCAAAGTGAATAAGTTGATAAATGAAGGATATGTAATCATTTAAGAAAAAAGAACCAAAACACTAGAGTTCATAAGCTAAACCAATCTAGAATATTAATTGCGTAGATTTTTTGTAAAACAATAGCAACACAACAACCCACAATAGAGTTCATAAGCTAAACCAAACTAGAATACTAATTTCTTATATTCCTTTGTAAGACAATAACAATAGACCCTGATACAACCAACTCACATTTGCAAAATCTAAGTTACACTCTATTTTCAGCTACATAATTTACCAGAAATGGAATACATGAAGTTTGTCCACATCATAAGGAATTGTTTTCATTTTTCAATATAAGGAACTAGAATATATTCTGATTCCATTTAATGATATGTCATTGAAAGATTGAAAGATTGTCATTACAAAGAGAATATTATCTATTGGAATGATCTGTTTTTAGATAATAAAAAAAAAGAATATATTCCATATCTATTGTCTTATTTTTCTTTCAAAGAACATGTATGTATGTAATTATTTTATGAAAGGAGAAGGAATCAGTAAAATAATTATAATTAGTTGATGTGCTTTATCTCTATCATGCATCATCTTTCGAGCATACAAAATTCAGGGTGAAAAAACTGAACTCGGTCAAATTTACTCGACAAAGATAAAACATTACTCTTCTTGTTTATTTTAAGAAATGCAGGATGGCTCCAAAGGACAAGATTAAGGGTGTTGGGTGTTGTTTCCCAAGAGAAAGTGTTCTACACCAAAGACTGAACGAAAGAGGTTGAGCGCATGTTCGTGGAAATCTTGACAGATCGAAAAAATCAAGGTTTTTTGCCGTTGTAAACAACCATGCACTTCTTTGTGCTTCGAGCATGCTCAACGAGCGCTTCAGTAAGAACTTTGATTACAACTTTATAAATGGTAGCTTCGTAAGCTACGTAAAAGTTATCAAGTTTACAGTTGCATCAACACCTTAAGTGGCATGGTGTACAATCCCAATGGCAATACAATTGATGCTTCATCACAAATTTGGGACTATATTGTTCGTGTAAGTGCAAATATATATTATTTATTTTCATTTTTTACCATAGATGAAGAAATTTTTTTGTCAACAGGAAGAAAAGCTCGGAATAGCTTACATGAAACAAGGTGAACACCTTTTCCCCGTGCTTCAGGCCCTATTTGAAGAAGCTCCAGGAGACCAGGGTAAATATAATGGCCCTAAAATTAATGAAATTGAATCCAACAGAGAGAACGAAGATGGTGGTGACCATATTGCTCCAGATCCTTATTTTCCTGTTGAAAATGAGTAAGACAATACTAATAATTCATTTTGGAATGAATTGGCATGGTACAACTACGACACCACGAGTGCATCCTCCATGCACGACTACGATCACCCTCCAAGCAAATTGTCAAGCACTGAAAAAGTTTTACGAAAATGTAACCGTCATTGGCTGGTCACCAGTGGAATACCAAAGGCCATGATGGGGACGACATTCCAAACAGCTCCACCGCATCATCCTGCCCAATAAAAAAATAGGTCTCACAATTGTTGTTTATGTAGCGACGATTATCTAAGTAGTCTTAAATTTAATGATTTCATAAGTTTGTCGTGTAATTTGGCTCTTTATTGTTCGGGGGAACACGACGCAAAGAAGGATGATTGATTTGGCCTGGACCATATATTTCAGAACTTCTTATGTATTCCTTGTTCGGCGGAGCTCAAATGAAGGCGAATATTAGTGCTTATCGGTTGCTAGTGGCATTAGCCTTAGTTTGTTAGGATTTTCGAGTGGTCACTAATATCATTGAACGCACTGTGTTGTTGTTGTAGTCTTGTTGGTTGTTGTGTTGTTGTTTCTTTTTGGTTGTTCTTTAATGCAATGTTGTAGATTTAAAATTTCTCTTATGTTTTTCTTAATAGACACAATAACTTTGAATTACCCTACTGATTTTAAAACTAAGTCAAGCAGATTAATTGCTACATGCTTACTTCATTTTCAATCATTTAAAAACTTGTAGTCTTCAATAAATTGAGTAAAAAAAAAAAAAAACTTTAGGAACCCAATTTATCAACAATCATCTAAAAATGTCGTTTACGATAAAAAAAAAGTTGGGTTTCACTGAAAGATGCACGAAAAAGTCCAACGACCAATGTGTACTTTTCAATTCGGATTCGACACGGATGCTCTGTTCTTACTTATTTCCATGGCTCTTTTACCATGTAAGCTATGCAACGAGAAGATAATAATTTGTAAAATATTAAAACGAAATTAAATACGTTTATATTGGATAATGTGATAACTCAGACAAATAAGGGTGCTATTTATTCAATGGAACCTCTAATGATATACAAAAAATCAAATACTTATTCTAGTGATACAACTTCTTCGAATTATATCCAATTTTTAGAGCATCTCAAATGCTCAAATGTTGTGTGGTAAATTACATTCTACATCAACATATTTAGCAATGTTACAAATGTTGTGTGATCACAAATGTTGTGACTTGCACATAATTAATGTCTTCAATGTAGAGAAGAATATGTTCATCCACATTCTCCTTCACTCTAACTAGCTAATGAAAAGAGGTGAAAAAATTATTCTTACCAATTCCATATTTAATTATTTAATTAATATCCTTACTACATATTATAAAATATTAATATTTGGTAAGTAGATAATATTATAATTAGACTATATTGTCCACTGGAGATACTTTTTTAAGTTGTAAACTTAACATTTTTCTACATAGTTCATAATCCATTTAATTTATTGGCCTCTGTCAAAATTTATTCTGTAACGACATTAGTGCATTGAGATGCTCTTAAACCATAATTGTAACTCCAAAAAATTTACTACACGAAACAAAAATATATTATATTCAAAATTATGAATCATTCTCTCATTTAATAAGCTTTAAAAATATATATTCAAAAATTTACTACACTAGAAAAAAAAAAAAAAAAAAAATCTTACAGCATTTGATAAAGCTTTAAATACTGCATCTCATGACACCCAATTTTCCCTCATTTTTAGCGTGACATTGCATAATTTCCATGTAAACACGAAACAAATCGGACGTCTTAACTCACCTGATAAATGACCATTAACCTAATAAAAACCAAACTAATCATAATTATTCAAAACACCTACCACTGATTAACTAATTTTTTTTTGATACAAGGATCTTACGATTTCCGAATCTATAGAGGAACCGACTAATTCGGAATCGAGCCGGGTAGGACGACAAGAGTGACGTTTTAACACTAATTAACTAATTTACTAAACTAACCCCCCCCCCCCCATCTCAATGTTCAATTCCAATATTACCCTTCATCACATCTACTGTCTATTTGACACGTGTACTCCCGAGACCAATTTGGACCCTAGACTCTCTCCGACCGTGTCCGAAATTTTATGTTATTCAGGTTCCCCCCCTTTAATTATCGAAATTTTCTATTTTCGCCCCCGTTTTCTGTGGGCTTTTTTATCTACTGCCGAAGAAAATGGAGAAAAGGAGAGAGAGAGAGAGAGAGAGAGAGAGAGAGAGAGAGAGAGAGCTGGTGAGATGGTAATGGCAGCTGACACCTCACAGTGGCTAACAATTGAATCGTGAGCTCAAAGAAACCTTCTCAATTAAACTCAGCTTTTCCCACCCAACGCCCAATCAGCCTACTCAACCCCTCCATTTCTTTGAAGCTACTGTTTCTCTCTTAAATTTGCTTTCTCCGCGAGCAAATCGCAGTTGTTGGGTTGTTGCCGGAGGAGGAGAGGGTCACAGAATGAAGCAGCTAACGTCCCTGCAGCAGCAAGGCCGCCGGAGCAACAGCTTCCGGGGCGCGTCGTCGCCTCTGGAAGCCACCATCGACGGCGCAATCAAATCGCCGGTGACGATATTCTGGCTGCTCTTCCACGGCCTGTGCTGCTTGATTAGCTTGGTCCTCGGCTTCCGGTTTTCTCGGCTTGTGTTCTTCCTCCTCTTCTCCCCTTCTTCTTCCCCCTCCGCCAAAACCAGCATATACTCCACTCTTCACACGACGCTGCCATCCTCAGCGACGCCGGAGAGGAACTTTTCCGGAGTCGGCGGCGGGAGCAGGGTGGTGGTCGGGAGGCACGGGATACTGATTCGGCCGTGGCCGCATCCGGATCCAGTTGAGGTGATGAAGGCGCACCGGATTATTGAGAGGGTTCAGCTGGAACAGAGGTCTCAGTACGGGGTTAAGAATCCCAGAACTGTGATTGCTATTACGCCAACTTATGTACGTACTTTTCAGTCTCTGCACCTCACCGGCGTGATGCATTCTTTGATGAATGTGCCCTATGATCTCATCTGGATCGTGGTGGAAGCCGGCGGCCCCACCAACGAGACCGCCTCACTGATCGAAAAGTCGGGATTGAAAACTATCCACATTGGATTTGACGGGAAAATGCCTCTTCTATGGGAGGATCGGTATAAGCTTGAATCGAGGATGAGGCTCCATGCTTTAAGGTATCTTCGCGTTTGTATTTTCCCAACCATACTTCTAATAATTTGTTGGTAGAGCGTAGTATTTATGTTTCAATATGTTTTGAAACGTGCAGAGTAGTTAGGGAGAAGAGATTAGACGGGATTGTGATGTTTGCCGATGACAGTAATATGCACAGTTTGGAGTTGTTTGATGAGATTCAGAATGTGAAATGGGTGGGTGCGGTTTCAGTTGGAATTCTTGTGCAAGTGGGCAGTTCAGAAGAAGTAGAATTGCCTGTAGATCAGATAGACGAAAATGGAAAAGATGAAAAGAAATCACAGTTACCGATTCAAGGCCCGGCTTGCAACTCTTCAAACCAATTGGTCGGCTGGCACACTTTCAATACTCTGCCGTTTGTGGAGAAGCGGGCGAGGTATATTGGTGACAGGGCAGTTGTGCTGCCGAGGAAGCTCGAGTGGGCTGGGTTTATATTGAACTCAAGGTTGGTTTGGGAGGTAGCAGAGGCAAAGCCAACTTGGGCTAAAGATTGGGAAGAGGTGGATAGGGATGGGGAGGATATGGAGAGCCCGTTAACTTTGTTGAAGGATACTTCGGTGGTCGAACCTCTTGGTAGCTGCGGGAGGAAAGTTTTGCTGTGGTGGCTGCGCGTGGAGGCAAGGGCTGATAGCAAGTTCCCCCCGAGGTTTGTCTTCTTTTTTCCTTTTTGGTGTAGAACACGAATATTTGTGAACGCTTGCGAGTCTAGTTCTTAAATTTTTGTTTGTTCTGTCTTAAATTATGCTTGAGTAGTTAGATTTCTTGAAGCTTGTGTTGCAAGATTATGCTTGTTGTTTTTCTACGTTATGCTTTATTTGTAACTGTGGATCATATTTCTAGAGATTTGACGTTTTATTGATTAGCCAATGTTCTGTAGACTGACCGGAGCATTTGGGTTAACAGTAATTTGTTAGGTTGGCTTGTAGGCAGTGGTTTTTGAGAGGTGCCTTTTAGTAAGATATTCTTGGTAAGGTTGGTTTCTGTAGTAATGTCGACCTTCATATATGCATTTCATCTCTCTTACAAAATTATACATTTACTAGTTTATTATGGTATATAATGGGAAAAAGTTTCTAGTTGCTGGTTCTGGTCTATAGGAACTCGGATGTTATTTGATGTATGCTTGGATAGTGGACACATACTCAATTTTGTTAAAACATAGAACGGTTATGGATCAATGTACCCTGGTGTACTGTTAATGTTATGCAGCATCTTAAAGACCACGTATACTTCCAGATAAAAGTTACGTGGTAACTGATGTCGACGAGAGTGCTTTGGCATTTCTCGACAAACATGATCAGCTCCGGACTTTAGTCTGATTGTTATTTTATTTATTATCAGTATTTATGTGTATTTATTTATGTTGTGTATTGGGTTTCTTTGATGTTGGGCTTTTTAGTCTATGTTGATAGGATTGGATATTATAAGTAACCGCAGGAACCTGTTGGCAAACGAAGCATCTCTTATTATCGAATGAAAAATATTGTGTTCTTCGTAGAATTCTCTGTACAATCTCTTCCATCACAGGTTCTGCTGCATCAGTAACGATAAAATCCATAATGATTTGGTCAACTTTCTGTTAAGCTGCAGTTAGGGAGGATAAACTCCTTAAGCTGTATATAAATTTATCAATGACATTATCTTCAGCTAGAAAAAACCTAGGCTTTGTTAGGATAAATTCCTCCTGGAACAACTCCCCGTAATAACATCCCATGATCACCAACCAAGCAATACATCTATGCTTTCCTGTGCATTTCTCCTTCTACACACGTTTCGTATAACTTTCCCAGTAGCTCTACCACTCAATTCTCAATCGATCACCAAATGAAGTCCTAATTTCTTGGATCGATGTATGGGGCATAGATGTAGATATAAATGTCTTAAGCACTTGATAGGTTTGAAAAATATTTTCCTAGATGTATAGAGGGATTTCTTCCCATGATATACTGAGCTAGTAATACAATGGCCTACAAATGTACTATGTATATTTTACTCGGGTAATGTAATACATTCTTAAGAAAGTATATTCTATCGAAATTTCCATTCACTGTTTTGTAGAATGGTTTGAATAAATGTTCACACGAAGTATGCTATTTCTCTTTCATTCTTTTTGTATGCTTCAAGTTGGTTGAAGGTGTACTTTCCACTACACTCCACTTTTTAAACTGTAGCTTGCTAGTTTGTTTGCATTTTTTGCTTGGAGCACAATATTAAAGCACACCCAATTTGTCCCTTTCCTTGGTTTATTTACTTTTTCTCGAAGGAAATCAAGTTCTGACACTGAATATAATTTTTACTTCAGCTCTTCATGGCTAAAAAAGTTAATCATAGACCACTGATACTTCTATCTTACTGAGCGGTGGGTTAGGCTTATTATTTAAACCTGTTGTTCTCCGATAATACCTACATTTCTCCCAATAAGACTAGGTAAGTAAGATAAGCCAAGATAAAGGTAAAGGTCTATTTTGCCTATAATCTGCTGCTAGTTGTGCAAACACTTAGTGCAACACTGAGTGGAACCATTATCATTTTTTATCTCAATGTGCAAGTCTTCTATGGTTGAAACTATAGCATCTTCTAATTTTTTTGAAGTCTTTTATATATTGATTATTTATATATTGGAAGTAAACTGTTCAATAAGGAACCCATATACACCTATAGATGTTAAGTGTCCTTTATCACTTATGAGTGAGAGCTAAAAAAGTTGCTTCCATGGCTAAATCTTTTTATTATTAGTTTCTTTGGAAGCTTTATTCTGATAGCTCTTTATCGGAACAAATTAAAAATGATGAAAATTGCAAAACTAACCCCCAGGTTTTGCAATAGAGATAAAAAAACAACCCACAGGAAATGACTACTAAGGTTTGGTTCTACTATTGTTATGAATGCATTTATAAAGAGGTTTTTTTTTTTTTTTTTGGCAATATTTTTAACCTAAAGGGGAAAAGTCAGTGGGAAACTGGGAATCTAACATCACTGAGTTATTTTATATTTAAATAACAATTCTTTCTCCTATACTTTATTTTTAAAGTAACAATCCGGGAGAAAGAGTTGCTTGCAACTTGATATCTGTTTTAGATGTAGTAATTGATGGGAAAATGTGCATATTCATTTATGTTTTCAATATATATTATTCAGTCAGCTTCCTAACAAATTTGCTATGCCTAGCAGATGGATAATCGACCCTCCCCTTGAAATTACCGTGCCGGCAAAACACACCCCATGGCCGGATGCTCCTCCCGAACTCCCATCCACCACCGACAAAATGATTGTTATGCCTGAGATCACTGAGAAACGCCCAGCAAAGAGTGGCTCGAGAAGAAAGCGCAACTCGAGAAGCAAGAAAAAGCACGGCTCAAAAGTGCTGGACGAGCAAATTACAGCTAGGCGTACTGGGGATAATTAGTGTTTCTTATTACTTCTTTCTCCATCGGGTGATGATCTGAGACTTTATTCCACTATGTGAATTCTTGGCTTCGTATTGAGCAGGCTTTCCAATATTAGAAACAAAGAGCCATGAAGACAGAAAAGGCCCCTGGGAAGAATACAGGAAGAAGGCCTGTGTTCACGTATACAATAGCCAGTTGATACATACTTGAGACAACCTTCTTTATTTTATTTTCTCTCTACTGTGAAGTATTTTTCGGCCTTAGCTCATTTTTTGTTGGGTGGGTTCGTTTAGAGTTTGCTTGAGCTTTTCAATCTCACGACATTTTCTGCTTGGCGGAATCTGTGTATTTACTTTCTCTAAGGTATTATACGTAATTTTTCAGATGAATTCATTACGTCGTTTTCTTCGGCTGTCCGAAATGCAAGTTTGGTGCAAGAACTATCCAGTAAACTCTGTTCTTTTTTTGTTCCTTTGTTTTTTTAAGCCATTGTTCGCCAGTTGTTAGATCTTTGATCGGTACATTCCCAGCTTTGTGTTGTGTTGAAGAAAAGGAAAAAGGAAACTAAAAACAGACTGCTTTCCAAAGGAGAAAGGAACATGTTTATACTTGATCATGTGTGCTATCTGCCACCTTAGAGTCATCATACACAGAACAATCAACTTTTACTAATAAAAAAGATAAAATGCAGTTACAATGATCAGTATGATGACCACGTATGAGACATGACATTATCTTTCAAGCTCAATTATCAATGAGTTTATGGCCATCTTGGATTGAAAGTCACTTTATCAGAGAGGTTATAATAGAGCTCCTGATTATGCTAGATTAAGACCTTTTGGGAGTTTAACCTATGCAGCTAAATATGAACACGACGAGTGTCCCCTCTCTTCTCTCCCAAGACAAAAATCCCTAATTAATAAGTAACCCCAGCCTCTCTTCCGGCGGCTGTAGCGCCCTATTTTTCCAGCGAGCATCTAGCCTGCCCAGGGCCGAATGGCGCGACACGACGCTGGTGGGCGTTCGTTCTATCCCCCCGAGTGGTCTCGATCTTCAAATTTTCGCCGTGTCGGGTGAGGTGGAGCGGTCGAAGCCAGCGGCTGTGTTCGGCATACACCACGGACGTCCTTGCGACGGTCGGGGGCTGCAGTCTAGCCTTGGTTTCTCCCTCTTCTGGTCTTCCTTGGTGTTGGGGAGGTGGGTTCAACTGGCGGCGTTTGTACGTGATGCGGCGGCTTCGGTGTATGCGTGGGGGGCTATGGAGTGGACCAGCATGGGTTGGGTCTGCGGAGTACCGGGGGAGGCTATCGGTTATGTGGTCATGATCTCGTAGCCCATTAGAAGAGTTTCTTGATCCGTTGTGTTGGGTCGTGAATCTTGTGGCTTTTCTCGGTAGATCGCTTTAGGTGATGACTTGGATTTTGATAGTGTTGGGTGTTCCATTCGGTGGGGAGGGCTTTAGTTTATGTTATGTGTTATATGCTTTTTTTTTTTTTTTTTTTCTTGTTACTATGTATAGTGTTGTAAGTGTGCATTTGTGTTTTTATCTCCTCATTAACAATTGCGTATTCTTCCGTAGAGGAGTGTGTATTCTCCTTTGTTGGAGTTTTTAGTTTTTTTGTGTTTTTGTAGTGTGTTGTGACTTAGGTTACCTCCGGTAGGCCTCCCTCTTTCTGTTGGTTAGCCGATTGTAATTATGTGTTTATTTATGAAATATATCGTTTGGAAAAAAAAAAAGGTCCAAACATGAATCAGAGGGAAGCAATTGTATATTTTTGGGGATTGTTCAGGGTTTTCAGTTGTATGATTTGAAAGTGGGGATTGTTTTGTCGCTAGGGATTTTTTTTTTTTTTT